GCAATGATTCCAGACATTTTGCCACTTTTTGCCCGTTCCTGGACCTTCTATAAAATGGCAGTCCAAGGTCTCCATGCATGTATTGCATAACTAAGATGCGACCGAACTAACGATCCAAACACTTTGGCGGTGTGTTAGTCAGACCTCGCAAAGGCTCGTCTGATAATTTGCAATATAAACACTTTTAACGGCAACGTATGCTGGAAGATTTCCCTTCAATAATTGAGACTGACAGTTCTCAGATCTCAAGCTAGATCATAACGAGGTCACGCATACGGTGCGTGAGTTTTGGTGTGCTGAACTTTTTGGAATACTTAGGATCAAAACCATACAGTTTGCTTTATTAAAGGTATCCTTGAATTATGGGAGAATACATTCGACTGCCGAAAACATACAGTTCTCCGTGTAACTAAACATTAAACTAAGACAGTTGTTAGAAGTTTTAACTCAAAATCAAATTTTTCGGCCGCTTTTATACGCAGATGATATTTTGGGTAATATATGAAGATTCGCTCAATCAGGGAAGTTTGGAGTCAAAACTTCAGCGCCCTGGACGATGGTCGATGATGAAAACGCTTTTGAGCAATCAAATAACCTTCTTTACTAGGACTTTTATTAAAAGAATTCTCTCTTCATGTATGAAGCACTCGAAATATCACATAATCCTTTTCACATAAATAGTCGTGGAGTCAACAAGAACTTGTGATCGATGACTAACTTGGCTAAAATTACTGTTACTTTTTCCGCATCAAATGAAATAGCTTATTTTACTCTTTATGTTGAGGCTACATTTGTTATCTATTTTAGCTTTAAAGTGTAATCCCTGAGCTAAAAGCTCACAACGGATTACTCAAGAAAATATGGAAATATTGCCTAAACGGCCAATTGCCTCCACATGTCGTCTCCTAATCACGTATGTCCAGAAACTGCAGTGCATACTAACCATGTTCTCGTATATAAGAAATAGTAACTGGCTAAATAATAATGAGTTTTGGGGGGTTTTGTGCAATATTCAAAAAAGCCGGCGTAAGTTTAAAAGGGTAAAGTAGCCCCTTACAGAATGGTTAGAAAATGGTCAAGTAAGGAATATCAACTGCCCTATTCTTGAGCATGTGTAAACACCTGAGAGGTCTTCCACATGATTTAAAAGATTATGTTAAGTTATCCAAAACTACTTAGACAGCGCCTGTTGACTACGGCAGAGGCGGCTGCAATCAGGCCACGCGAACATGTCATATGCGCACAAAAGAACTTCATCCAAGTCCCACAGTTAACATGACTCACAGCCATGGAGCCAGACATCTGCGTACAATTACCATCTTGGGGAACGCCTTCTCTATGCCCCAGACTGGAATTGTGGTGTCTTACCCTTTTTCTGCCTGCGGAAACGCGAGCTACAGCATAATTATTTACTTGCCCTTATCTTTTGACTCATTATCTCAATAGCCATATAAATTTGCACGCCTGAAGATAATTTATCAAAAGTAGACGTAGGCTCGCCAAGTTGCCCTTTGGATTCCTCAAATGAAATTTGGACAACTCTAAATATGTTTATGTTAATATAAAGAATTACTTATAAGTGGAGATTGAAAACACTAGAATATTTTAATTTTTGAAGGATAGTATGGTTATCTTGTAGATAAACCCACAGCGCTGCACAAATACGGTTGCTTTTTCTATAAAATAATGTACCTGTTTGCACCCTGCTCCAGATGATTCACGCGGACAAAAAATCGAATTCAGGGTGAGCGACGCTGCGTATGGCAAACGTTTTCAATCAAGATTACTGTCCTTCTGCGGTTAAGCGTGCTTTTATGCAGAACCCATGTCTATAGCACATATTGTCACAGCAAATGGCTTAATATATGGTGCTGTTGTATCCCGTTTATAAATTTTCAAATTTTTGTCTGGGAAAATTGTCAAGAAATATATTTTGCATGACAGATCCATTTTCGAGACGCCCTGAGGCCCAAAGTTTCTGGGTGTCTCAAAATTATCAGACAGATTTCCATGTGGAATCTGTGGCGATCTCAGTGACATCAGGTTTTAAGTGCATTTACAGCAGTTTGGTAGATATGAAGTAAAAAACCATTCAATCCTGGGCTTATTCGGTAGAAAAAGACGTCTTATTCCAAGTTTATACTCAAAGAGAGGCTTTTCAAAACTCTCCCAATTCTCGATTAATTCTGAAACCAACGTGCCGTTACACTTGCATTTAGGTTTTCGAACTACAAGACATATAATTTCCTGGTACGAAAACCAATAAATTTCTTTAGGATATTAAGAAGAGACTATATGGTGTTCATTGAATTTAACAATGGACTTGAGCTATATCGTTATTTTTATAAGCCAATTGGTAAAAGCAGAGACATCACGTTTTACAAACGGCCATTCCACGGTATTAAAACATCTCACGATAAAAAGCTTTCTAACCCGAATTGTACCATTTCTTCTAGGATAAAATTGAAAAAAGACGTCTTTTACTGCCAAATAAGCAAACGATCAAATATTTTCATGCGCGTTTAACAAGAAATATAATTGATTTATTAACGGCATCGAAAATAAACGAGAAATATGCGTGCTAGTCTGAGTAGTCGATCTCACGAAATGTTGACTGAAATTCTGAAATACATTCTGGATAAGGAAAGATTACTTAGGCACAGTTGTAAAAATGATTTTCACGCGACATAATCCTATAATGTTTCGGACTTAGACATATGTCAGCTTTTGAAAAAACTGCTTTTTGATCTCCCGTAGAAACCGTACTCCGTGAAAAGTGACTACTTAATTAGCATGCACTTTTCCCATTGATTATTGATGGTGTTGCAAATCCAGATATATTTTGTAGAAAAGACAAACCAAAGTATGTTTTCTCCAGTCGTTTGATAGAGAATCTCGTCGTTTTTATATTTTTACGCGAAGAAGGAGTATAATTAGGTCTTAACTAAGTTTCTAATTGTTTGATTTTATAAGACCATAAATGTATACTCATATAACATCGTACCTGTACATTTACCACTGCTCCTCATGAAATGTACAACACAGTCGGTATCGATTGCAAAATTGTATGGACTCTGTGAAATATCTTCTTAAAGACGCAGATAACAATGTGGTGCTCTTTGCTCGGAACGCATGCGCCTAGTAGACTGAATTTACTGAGCGCTAGTGTAACGACTGATTGAGCTCCAAATTATTCGGCAATTAAAAACCTTTTTGAAACACAATTATACGCCTTTTTTGAATATAAGATATAAAGTATGCGCACGCCTGTATCAGAAGACTGAAAGAAAGCATATTTTGGTTTGTTTTTTCTATAAAATATATCTGGATTTGAAAAACCATCAATAATCAATGGGAAAAGTGCATGCTAATAAAGTAGTCACTTTTAAATAGAGTTCGGTTTCTACTAAGGATAAGAAAGCAGCGTATTCAAAAGCTAACGTCTTACCAAGTCCAAAATATTATAGGATTATGCTGCACGATATTATGACCGCGCCTAAGTAATTCTTCTTAATGGAGAACGCAATTCAGAATTTCAATCAACATTTCATGAGATCGGTCACTCACTGTAAATAAGTAGCCCTTTCTTGTAGATTAATTTGTTGCATGCAGCCTAAAAGACGTTTGTTCGAAAGTCGGCATTCTGAGGTAACTGAATTGTTATAGGATTATGCTGCATGATGATTAATTTTTCAATCCTACTTAATTAATATTTTCGAAGCGAAAACGCATTTCGGAATTTCGGATGACACTTCTTGATTTAACCCACCTATTGTTTATGTATCTGCGTGTCTGCCTCATGTCTCAGTGGCGCGACCACCGTTGATGACAGTCAAACAACTGCTTTAAACACCAGCACCTCCACCTGTACTGGCTGGGTCGTCGTATGTTTTACCCCCTTCCCGTAGTGAAGCGGCCATAGCAGGCCATCAATAAACTTTCATAATTTCGCTTGATGTTGCCTGAGCAGGGGGAAGGCGAAGCATCTCGTGAGAACATTCTTTAGGGTTCTTTAAATGAAACCAAGACGGCTGAACGATTCAGTAGGTGAGGTTTATCGCCAAGCCTCTCCCAGAAGGCAGCAGACAGGAGAACTCGATTGGAGGTGATCCCTTTTTCTGGTTTAGCCGTATATGTCAGAATCCTTGGGCGCATGATTTAGCCTTACCATCCACGTTTTCACCCTGATAAAGTCGCCGTGTTAAGAACCTCGATTACCTTTGGCATTTTTATTGGAGAGTCCGCCCTTGTGAAGAACTGTGTCGCCCAGTTGTAAGATATTCAGATTACCTTAAAGGCGTGGAAACCCCGCATCTATATGAAGACCACCTTTTGCCAGATAGACTGCTCATTAGGGACGGCGTATATGCCCCCTCCCGGCAGGACATGGGAACAAGAAGCACTCGTAATACGAGCGGCTTTGCATTTACTTCCTGGGAAATTAGGGATATTTTAATACAGGGTTCAGGTTAAGACTAGGGTATGGGTTACGTTTACGTTTTCGTTTAAGGATACGGCCATGTTAAAATTAGTTGCACGACCAACATTTGGGCTGGGATTAGGAAAGGAGAAGGTTCACATCTCCCGGAAACCGGCTCGGGACCACCTGCGCGGGGGTCGCTGTTCCCGTCTCCAACCGCACAAACCATTCCGACCAACCGTAGCCGCTGATTAGATAGAATTCGGAGACACCATGTAGCACACTGAAATCCCCTAAGCAAAACTTGCTTCTCAACACTACCAATAAAAACCTCGAGGGCGTAGGGTATATAAACTTTTTAAAAGCCCCCTTCTGCTGGAAATTCTCACATTTCCGTAAAGAGTCAACCTGCTGGAAAAGATTAATCTTAGTGAGCTTCGGAGATTGGCAGTACTCGACAAACTTGACAACTTTATATCGATAAAAAACTACCTCCTGTACAAATATGACACCGATGAGGAAATGTATGAGTACACCCGGAGTTACGAAATGGAGAACACCTTTGCAGACGTTCATTAACTTACGACTCAAAACCGACCGGAGCTTCATTGCTGGCAATACGAGACGGGACAGCGATGCAACTGAGCAGCTTGAGGAGTTTGTACTCCTCCTCGCTAAAACATTGAAGGCACAAACGAGAAGTCTCCTTATGCTGAGCTCGACTTGTCGACAGTGATTGCCCGATCGCTTTCTGTGATCAGAACCGTAGCCTGCGCATAGAGTGGTCTTCGTGTTCCAGATCAACGGACATAACCGTTCCAGATAGGTGGCAAACGTGAATACCTCAGGCCATTAGGGTAGAGTCGCCACAATTAACCTTAGAGAAGCGCGGTGATGCGGACGACTGGGTTATAAACCGAGAAGGGTTAGTCTTTGCTGGCACATTTTTAAGGAGTGTAACCTGGAACCCTACTCAAGCGTCTCTTTTAAAAACTCCATTAAATTCGAAAACCCTGCAGAGTTAGAGAAATCGTCGTCGGAAGTCTGGGCCAAAATGCCTCAGTAACTATTTGTCCTTATCTGTTTTGTAGCAAGTTTTGATTAGAGACTTGTTTCGCAGTTTTTTTGACTATGGAGGCGGAGTTTTTACATGCCATCTTTTCCTGTCTACTGTACCAAAGCTTGTTTTTTCAGTTGTCACAGAGCGTGACCGATTTGCAGCGTTGATAATCGAGCAATAAAGAGGCAGTAAGAGTAGAGTTGCGAGGTCGCTGGAAAATCGTTCCACAACTACATGTGAAAGGTTTAACGGTAAGGTTCAGCCCTCTTAACTATCCAAAACCAATGCACACTGTGTCGAAGGTGCTGTCAGAGGATTTGAAAAATATTTTCCTTCCCAGAAAGGCCCACGTGCAAATCTATGATTCACTTTTCGATATAGAAAGGGTAATTGGTCTGATGCTCTGTTTGAGCTCTTACCTTAACTCCCAGAGGTTTAAAATGTCTCCTAAGTATGTCATACCTACTTACTGCTCAATTGCTGCTCACAAGTGTTCTTCCGTGTACTTACATTGCTTTATAGTCTTCTCCCGCTTTGGGCCTATACAGTAAGGGTAACATTTGTGCACTCTCAGATATTTTACTCGCATTACTTGCTACTATGGCAACACGGTCACAGCACAAGGCGGCAATCTGCTGAGGAAGACTGTCATCTTTTATGACGAGTAATGGCCGTTTCAGTGTTTCAAAATTTCCTACAGCTGATTCATACACCATTGTCAGTTCGTCAACACAATTCCTGGAGGAGCTTTAAGGAGTAGGGCACTCGCCAAATGGGATCCAGTGGTCGCAGGCCAATACGTCTGGAAGCGTTCGCTACGAAGGTAGATGACATTGACGCAACGCAACCTTGAAGAAGGACATTAGACATGACCATGAGGACTGTCAACAACAATGTCTCATTTACCGACGAGATCGGATTTGTAAGACAACCGAAATGAGGCGTAAATTTGTACTTCTACTTAATGTCTTCTTTTGAGGTATTCAGTAATCTAAGCAGTTTCTTAGGAGAAAGTTAATCCCTAACTAGTGTGTTGTTACATGTCTCCTCCGTGGATATCAAAACAGACGTGAGTGGTTTTATGGAATATGTATGTAATATCTACGTAATCCATTTTGTATTTCAGGAAATACAGAACAAATTCTTAACACTTTGGACTGCGTCAACGTGCCCTCATATTCTACAAAAACGGATGAAGGAGGTTGAGCGTTGTACATGGTCCACAGTAAAATGACGAAATGATAATTTGGCTGATGCCTACTTGAATCCTTGTCCTAGTACATTGCGGTTTAGATTCTTTCATTAATTATGTCACCCCGACGTTACTGTTGATTATAAATATCCTCCAATCATCCTTTACTGGCCAAATATATTGTATAGCCTTATGAAGTATCAGACTCGCATCCGTTGTTAACAGATCAGGTAAGCTAAGATACAAAAGACAGCCTACTGAGGACGACTGTCATCAATTAGGTCGAAGAGGTAGAGGTGGTCGCCGAGTTTAGGATGATAGAGTGGACACACTTCCCGGTTTGCGGGTGCCAAATATACGATAACCATCCAATTAATCTGCTGACCTAGTCTTGGTTGTTTTCTGAGACCGACTTGTTCAGATGTGTGCATGCAAGATCCGAACAGCACCGTCAGTCTGACAGAATAGACGCCTCTTTCTTAAATCTCTCCTACTGCACGAAAACGGCGACTCACATTTCAAAGAACGTAGGAATCTGAGGTTAGAAACACACCTTGAAACCCAGATTTTTATTAATTTCATTTTACCAAACAATATATCACACATCGCCGAGCCTTTCGAAGTGTATGAATCCGTCTGGGTCGCAACACACAACTGAAGTAGTGTCGCCGTCGGAATTCAAAGCCAAGTAGAAAATGAAGCCCTTTTCCCGCTCTCCGAGCGTGTAGCTGCCCAGAAGGCCTGGTGTGAAGCTGATGAATTGTGAATGTGTCATTTTCTCATATTTATCTCCGAGACTAATCGCCACTATCTCCAGTGTCCCATTGTCAGATTTTATGATAGCTTGGCAGTCCACATTCTCCATGTATATCGTTTGCAGCTTCCTCTGCCTTTCCATGTTGTGGATCTGCAAGACAGTCAAGGATAAATTTACATATAGCGAATGTGTTGTTCGACCGACTAGCTGGTAGAAGCTCTGTGAATAAGACAGTAATTTTTTTATTTGCTTGCAGAAATCCCAAGAAAGTTTATCCTCCCTTTTCTTTTGAAACTTGTGCTTAGAAAGCACGCCTGCTTTTTAAATACAAGTTATAAACATAAAGAAAATGATCAATCCTTCATCGCTCAGATTACCTGGTAAATCACTTCCAATTCCATTTGATAAATAGAAACAGAACAGCTGTAGTTCACTGCCCGCCAATCGGTCTCATTTGTGGGCTGCTTCGGTGTACAGGAGAGGACGCTGGAAATATTAAACTTCTTCATTAGCAAATAAATTCGATGTCTTGATAGCCGCAACAGCGAATAGGATCGACCTCGGTCATTCAGAGTGTCATTTAACCACATTTGAAATCCAAAATCAGATGGTCCTAGAGGTCTGTTTGCAGTTGAAGAGTTTGCTTTAAAGGAATATAAAGAGGATATTATGTGCCTTGCCCATGCCCAAACACAATGCCATATAAAACCAAATGCGTTTACGAACAGTCGTATACTGGAGAGAAAGGACGAAATGACTTTCAATTAAAACGCCAGTATTTGTTGCCAGCTAGCAGACGGCTTAATTTTTATCGCTTTTACCGTTGCCGTCCAAAATTCCCCATTGTTACCCTACCACTTGTCGACAAATAGCACCCTCAGTGTTTGGAGTACGATATTGTAAATTGAGAAATAATCCAGGCAACGTACCAATTGCAATTTCTGATGTTCCGTTTGCAGAGCCATAGTTGATTATCCTGGAAGCATTTTGAACTGGCTTACTTGGTCTGTTTTGCCTGATTCGTATAATTGTATAACGTGAGACGTCCGCCTTGGCGTCTGATTTAGCTAAAAGATTTTACAATTTGAATGTTTAAAAGCATCTACATAAGCTGTCGGATATATGAATCAGGTTTACATTCACTCACCTAATTACTACTTCTATTCTACTTTCTATAATTATTCAATGCTGTCTAGTGTGGCCACAACAAAAAAGCTTACCATTTAGCACTACAGGGAATTCGTGCTCGGAAACACAGCAGGCAGGGCAACTTTGCCACATTTAAAGACAACAATTATGTGTCCACTACATTTGATATAATTAAATGGACAATGTTGACTGTTTAGAAGACGGCATGGCTTGACCGAAATTTGTTGTTATAGAAGAAGAGATCTTTTTGCCTTTCCTGTAATAGTTGCACTTAAAAGAGGAAACTCACATTTGGTAGATCGGTTGGAGTCTGTAAGCGGTGCTTGTCAGACATTTATCAACAGAGGCTACACTATTAAAATCACGACTTTCCAATAAATTTAACCTAGAGCGGTGATTGTGTTTTCAACCTCAGGTACGGTCTTTATCTTGGAGATATTTCTTTCGCCACTGCTCGTAAATGTGAACCGATAAACTATGTTACGTGGGATTAAATGTGTACAGAGTTTTGACTGTCAATCAGAATATTACTATGTTCACTGGGAAGGCTAATTTGCAAGTGGACAACCTGAATGAACAAAAAATCGGCGACCTGCACTGTACAGTTTGCAAGTTAGGAATCCACAGATAGGTCCATTGCCTAGCTGTGATGTTTGTTCATGACAGCACGCAAGGACAGACTGTATGTTTTTGCAATCAAACATCACAATCACGTCGCCGCCTTCCTAGCACTCTTTGTGAAAGACTTCGATTCACGTATTTCGCACAAACTTGGGACAAATCAGCATCATCGAGGACGACAACAGTCCATCAGGAGAATTGTTGCTGGCAGCCATAATGGCTATATCTGGCTTTCTGGTTGAGTGTTCCGTTGCGTTAAGGTCATCCACCTTCGCGGTACATCGACCTGCAGTCACTAGACCGACTTCAACTCGGATGCATGTGCGTCCATTGAGTCGCAACTGTCTGTGCGCCACTTGGTCTCACCACTGCCCTTCCTGTGAATGCGACACAAGTCACTCGACCACCACCCCTCGACATGTCAACACATCGAATTGGACTCCATTTAGACTGTCATATAAATCTACAAAAGAAACTCCTAGGCATGGTTGGACACATACGACAGCAGTCCTGGATTCGCCAGCGGCCACTGTGGACGACTCGCGTTCTCGAGGACAACAAACCCATCATTCTGGTGCCTACTATCCTCTCCTTGCAAATCTGGATTTGACCCGAGGATTTTAGCGCTCTGAGTATGGACACTCATTGCTTAGGTAGTATAGAATGAGTGATCGTTTAAGCAGCGTTTCCTTGCCTTATGTATCCAGCTTATTCGTTGATCAATGTTGCCGTGTCTGGTGGATCACTCAATCTCTAACCCATTCATACCTCGAATACGCCGACCTTGGTTCTCTCCCACTCTATGCATAAAGCGTTTAAGTGGAAAAGGATGTTTGAATGCCAAGAAAGGTGGTTGGAGGGATTCGGGTCCACGTTGTGGGCATTTGCCAAGGCGCACACCAGTACGTTCCTTAAGCGTGACTGAGGATTTTCATGATACCGAACGGTGAGTGCATAAGTGACTTTGCAACTTCGTATGCGATCATCGAGAAGATTGCTCATTGATGTCTGATCTTTTCATCTAAGGAAAAACTACTATGTTATACAGAATAGATGAGCATTAGAACTGTCACACTGCGTTCACTTGTCAAGGCTGCAAACAATTTCTCATGCCTTCGTACGTATAAATCCCGTCCCCGAAGAGAACGGTAGGCAGTGGTTAGAGCGTTGGATGTACTGAAGTCTACCCCTTACTGCGTGGGTTCGAATCCCACCGAGGCGCCGAGTTTTTCACAGTTGGGTCAATATGAATTATTCAAAATCTGCAAAAATACCTATGAATAACTCGGGAAGACATGCGTTACGCGTGATCCAAACGTCGAAATCAGAGACTCCTTTAGCCGCTCCTTGACGGCTCCTTCACCCAACACTAAGCAATCCTCATAAATCTTGCATGTTCAGTCGATTTGGCCTTACCACGACGTTTTTCTTTTTGGGTGCCCGTATGCATGTTGGATGTTGTGTTAAGGCATTGAACAATCTGCATAATAGCGCAGGGATACAAATCTAGATACCGTACTGAAACCTGTGCCAAACACCGAAACTTCGGCTTTATAATCTTCGTTCACCTTTCCGATAAGAGTTCTCGTCCAGTGTGTGGGTGATACCAAACACCAAGCTATCCTCTCACCATACCAAGGTAGAAAAAATGAATTTGGATCTTTTGGCGCGACCAGGGGATTGTTTGTCGATCTTAACCAACGAGTTATAGGCCAAAGTACATTTGAACTTCGGCGTCGACATCTGTAGCCCCGTAGGTGGTAGGTAAACGTATGTCACACTTCGACGTTGTAACAGTTCGCGGATTCGGATAATAGGAGAGACGCACGCATGGTTCCAAGCACACACAGGAAGGCGCGTGTGAAATAATACCTGATGAAAACCAGGCTGACGCATTAGCACTCCTTCCCCCGTAGCACTATCACTCGTTGGATAAAAGTGGCAGGGACATGCAAATACGTGATATTTGTAAAGTCAGCGTATTCGCATTTACGGAAACTTTTTAGAAAAATAACCATATGGTCAGAATGATATTACCGACAAAGACAAGGGAGACTGGAATGGCCATTTCTGGCTTATTAGCCGTCGTCAGCCAGTCATACCCAACGCCGAAGTGTGGCACACCCGAGGCTCGAACTCGCGACCTCTTCGATAGAAGTCCACGCCTCTAACCACTGAGCCACGAGCCCGTTGCCCTGTCGGTTTTCGGTCGGGAATATGGTATCATTCAAGTGGGTCTGCAGAACCAAACATCTCCGGCAAATTTGATGAAAGTAAATGATAAAGAGGAACTGTAACGCCGGTGTTGAAGCAAGGAGTAGACGGAAATGGTCGTAAGGGTATGATCATATTTTAAAGAAGTAATAAAGTCATGTTGCTAAACAGATAAAAAAACGAAAATGTTTACTTGTACTAAACCAGACTGGTTATAATTTTACAGACCCGCAGACTGTTAGGGGAGGAAGGGGAAGAGACACGCGAGAGGAAAGACGAGAAAAGTAGTGAGATATGGCGAATTATAGACTCGACCAAAACCATAATCCCTTCTAACGCTAATCGAAAATCACCACCAGATCCAACGCTTAACCTAAAAAGAAGCCTAACCCTAAATCAAAATGCGACCTGGATCTCAGCACCCAAGCCAATCCTGAGTGTAATCATAATTCAAAAGCACCACCTTACCTTAACACAAATCCTAAACGAAAACCTAAACTTAACTCTGACCCTAATCCCAGCATTAGGACTAAACCTAACCTCAAACAAAATCTAAACCCTGAACTCAACACTAACCCTAACGTAATCATAACAATAGTAACCCTTAATCTAACCATATCCGCACCGCTAATGCAAAACGTATACCATACAATAAGCCTAACCTTGAACCGACTTAGAGAAAAAGAAGCTTGAATTTAACCGTAACCCCAACTATAACTATCAAATTCAACCTTAAACCTAGCCCAAAACCCTAAACCTAACCCTAAGCATTGACCCAAACTCAAAATGTTGGCACTAACCCTAACCTATAACTTTAACCCAAACCCTAACACTGGGCGTGATCCTAACGCTAATCCTAACCTCAAACTGACTCTGATCCGTGCAAAAAAAGCCCAACTGCACATCGATAAACCCGGAAAAATGGTCAAGAAGTGAAGGTCTAACTGTTAACCGTCCATTGAAATCAACAACAGCACTAAGATAATGAGACATCGACAAACCTGGGCAGCGTAACTGAGCCCTACTTATAATTATTAAGGAGAATATCCCTTATACCGGTCAATCCAAAATAGGACTCCCTTTGTCTGTTAGACAAAAACAAGATACAAACTCTGAGTCTGACGTTTCAGATTAGCGTCCAACCAATCACGCTGATAAGGACACAGTAGCTGGCTCTTGCTTGCAAAATTCTTTTCACTAATTTGAGTCCTTGGTTCACTGCTAGAAGAGTCTGACTGTGAGTCCATAGTTAACGTACCCGGATAAAATGGATGTGCAATTAATAGTGTGTCAACGGCCAATTACGGAAGCCCGGGGGAGGAGAATGTACATATACCCAAAATGCCGGTTAATGGCAATGACCAAGACTAAGTCTCGATTCACCTTGTCCGCGACCAACAATGTAGGAGACCTAGTTGTCGGTCTCTTACCATCAAACACAAGGGATGTTCTGTCGAGTAAACCTCTCTTTCCGATGAATGAACATTCAGACGAGGAATAAGTATTTCATATCCAAAAGATTTTGTCGTCTCAACCTCTTCATCGCCCCACTGTTCTTATGTGTTTTTGACCGTGTATAAATACTTAAAATCGGAGGTATTTTGTCTCCTCCTCCTACCTCATTTATTCTTTTTGTTATTGATTCACCAGTTTAGATGTGAAGTTTTATTGGTGCCAAATTAGTTGATCGACGTGGTTGCTAAATTGCAATTTGCTGCAGGATACTTGCGTCTTTTAAGCCACGACAGAAAGTTTCTTTCACTTCAGGTTAGCCTGATTGCATTGTCTGGCAGACACGGTTGAGCAGCATGTCAGGCCCACATCTCTCCCCCTCTCTCTATCTCCACTGTCTATCACAAAACGTACTAGGGCTGAGCTATCGAAACTAGTCCTGCCTGACAATAGTGGTTGACCTTTTAACTTGAGAGAATTTCAGAAGGTGCAGACGAATGTACTAGCAAGAATAAGACCTGTCTCAGGGCAAAAGCGACAACGCTGTCTTAGTTAGTCACGTGAGTGCATCACATTAATCAGAGCTCCCTATTGGCCTGCCATATGGGTATCCAGGATTACTTGCCCCTCTAGTCCACGTGCCCATCCCATTAAAAGAGAGCACTTCTCGTAGGAAACATTAGATATTTCCTCCTGTCAAACATAAGTCGGGAAGACATGCGCTACGCGTGATCCAAACGTCGAAATCAGAGACTCCTTTAGCTGGTCCCTGACGGCTCCTTCATCCAACACTAAGCAGTCCTCATAAACGATGCATGTTCAGTCGGTTTAGCCTTAACACGTCGTTTTTCTTTTCGGGTGCCCATATGCACGTTGGTTGTTCTGTTAAGGCATTGAACAATCTGCAGAATAGTGCAGGGATACAAATTTAGATACCGTACTGACATCCGCCACAAACACCGAAATTTCGGCTTTATAGTCTTCGTTCACCTTTCCGTTGAGAGTTCTCGTCTAGTGTGTGTGTGTGACACCAAACACCAAGCTATCTTCTCACTATACCAAGGTAGTAAAAGGATGAATTTGGACCTTCTGGGCGCGACCAGCGGATAGTTAGTCGATCTTAACCAAAGACTTATAGATCACAGTGGATCTAAACATCAGCATCGACAGCTGTAGCCCAGTAGGTGGCAGGCAAACGTATGTCACATTTCGACGTTGCAATTATAATCGGAAAGTTGTTATGCAGGCTGCATGACTGACGGGTTTTGGAATTTGAGCCGCCATTTTTTGCTCTCCATTCGCGCGCGGATTTTTGAAACTGTGTATTCCTCCCCCTATTTCCCTCTGACTTGCTGATGTGTTTTATATTCTTTGTGTGTTTGAATAAAGATTATGAGTTCATCTCAATATCATGCCAGCACTCTTTTTAAGGAACTTAAGTCGTCAAATTCCCTGACGACCGTCCATCATCTCAATTATTGCACTTTTGGCTAGTGTGTCGTATTTGTGATCTCTGTTTGCCAATTTTATCACGCTCTTTATTAACAAAAAACATATTTGCCGGAAACAACACCCGTGTAATAGTTAACTCGCACTTCAGAGTCAATGGAAGAAAAAATAGTCAAGTCCAAGCTTTTTTTCGACAAACTGTCGTTCGGTCTTCAACGAAACTTACGATGTGGAATTATGTTTTTTAGAAAAAGGACACAATACGGCTGTTGTGATTGGTCTTATAATGACATGGTTAAATGGCGATAAGGATTCGCAGTTAATCACTCCTCTGTCCATCTGTTGATTTCAAACTGGAAAAAGAACTAATTTGCGTAGCAGAAGTGAAGGGGTTAATAGTTCTCTTAACCAAAATTGGTTCACTTACTCTTACTCTGATTATTTGGCCGAAGTTCTTGTTGTTAAATTCGTACCCCGTTTGTTGAATACATTTAAAGAAATATATTTTTCCGTTTTATATTTCTCCTTCTACGGTAAAAGTGTTCTTTCTCTCACGCGGTGATCTTATCTGCGTGAACCTATGTTCCCTCACACACTTAGTCTTTGATCTTGTCTCCTCAAAAACGCGCCCCTCTTGGCCACACTTTTAACAATAACTCCAAGCCTTTTGTGTTACAAATTGAGTTCCGTTGTCAGGTTCAGATCACTCCACTTTATTGGGTCGCCCAAAAATCTATTCCGTCTCAAGCTATGCTCGGTTAACCAAATATGGGTAGTACGATTGATGCTCGCGACACGTCCTCAAAAAACATTTGCTGACCTCAAAATTATATATCTCGCGCTATTCCCCATCTCCAAAACGATCGATTGTCGAATAGCGCTTTAGCCACTTTCAAACGCCTTTAAATGAAATTTTTGATAATTGCTATCCTCTTGCTGCTGTTATGGTAAGACCGGATATACCTTCCTCCAAACCGAAAGTTCTAAGACGCATAATGGAACTCCTCGACTAGTCAGGCCTACGTCACTGTCTTAGGGACGTTACCATTCTGAGAAAAAAGGGATTGTCGTATTTAATAACCTGTTTGTTAGACAGCGTTTTTCTCTTCGTCCTCGCCCTTATTTATCACTTCGTCTGCTGAAATTTCGAGCGCCTTACTCGCACTCGTAACACATGTGCACACGGCCGATTTTATCCTTCCTCACAAGCATTCCTATCTTCCCGCAAACACAATTTTTCTGCTACCATGTGTCTCCTCACCTGTGTCTGTGACGACCGTAGAGAAACACCTTAAATAGGTCCGCGCATGTTGTCTCACCTTTTCTCCTTAAATTATGCTGTTCTCACATAGCTCCTGTTCTGTCAAACCTTAATAACATATTATTAATTAATTTCAAGATCCCTGACGTCTAGCGTACAGTGAGAATCTCTTCTGTTTTTAAAAAAATACTAATTTTGGTCCTAAATAATTTCATTTAGTTGCCTCCACTTCCACACTGTTAAAACGTATTTACCGAGTTGCCCTAAATATTGTAAGGCCATTATTCTCCACTTTTCCTAATGTTTTTCAATTTGCGTACACGGCCAAACGTAGAACCTTAGAAGCTGTTGCTGTTGTAGTTCACTCTTACCAAAGAACACTAGGTAAGGACTACCGCGCCAATGTATGTGCTTTTATTGACTTATCCTCCGCCTTCAGTATCGTATCGCGCAAACTTCTCCTTAAAAAAACATCAGCGTGCGGCTCTCCAGGCTGGGTTGTCTCTTGTTTCGGTGATTGCATTAGATCCCGCGCTTGACTTGTCCATTCCGGCCAACGGATATCTGCTGTCCTTTCCAATGACTGTGGGTGTTCTCCAAGGTTCTATTTTACCTCCTCACCACTTTTCCTGCCACATGATGATCTACGATCCACAAATGACTGCCTGCCAGTTGAGCAAGCGGAGGAACTTGACCATATCTCGGTATGCTTGCAGGAAAATGGTCGCCTATTGAGTAATCAGAAATTCGTCCAATGTATTCCCCAAAGGCGATCTTTTCCTAATCCTAAAGCGGACATGCTTCCCAATGAGTTATCCTCTTTTAGGTACCTTGTCACTAAATTTTTCCTTTTTCCTCCATATTTAGATCATTTCTATTAAAGATAGGAAAAGTATTTATTACATTCTTTGTGTGCTTTTCTCCCACTCATCAATCCTTTTTTTCTAACGATTCATAGATGCCGCCATCTCGCCTCTCCTTCTTTGTTGTTCTACCGCCACGTCTTCGGCGTTGTTCAAAAAACATATTGATTTAAATACGAGCCCCCTGAAGGCTGTCTTCTGATGACGGTGTTTCTTCTGTCTTTTTGGTCGTTATTGTCATACAACGAAATTTCAAAAATGTCAAGTAATTTACCAGTCGAATTTTGGATGACGATGCCCATTTCCTTCATTAGGAATCAATCTCTGCGTCGTGCCTTTTGACATATCTCTTGTCGCCAATCGGCATATCAACTTTCCCATCTACCGTCCTTGGCACTCTGCTTCACGGTTAAACAGACCGAAATCCGGAAACTTAGATTTTAGTTGTCCCTGTAATAATTGCTCATTTCAATGTGACTCATGAGTGATGTGTTAGTTTATAGTATGTCCATCGTGAATGGAGCCTGCTTTTCCTGAAAATTGTGAATCTGTAATTTCCGAATAATGCGAATTACGTTCTCTCAAATATGAGCCGACGAAAACTTTGAAGGTTAAACAACAGTGGAATAAAATATTGCAGCTTACCGCCTCTTGTTGCTGCAATTCTTTTTGCGATGACAGGACTGGGTAGTTCGTCGATATTTGCATTAGTCTCCCTTGATCGGCTCTTTTTAACTCGTCCACCGGCACTATCATGGCCGTTTGTCACCACATTTGGGTATTCTAAAAAATTTATTATTATCAATTTTAGAAGCAAGCTCCTTAAGCCTTTAAAGGGAATGGTGAGATCTCCGATAGCTTCAATTGTCCAAATGTTTGAAATCTTAGACGTCCAGGTGAGGTAATGGCAATGAGAAAAATCCGCTAAGGATCAGTGCTCGAAATAAAAATTGAAGCAGGCGAAGTACGTTTTAATCTATCGACAGCCTTGTTCCAAAACAGTTATTGAAGTAAAATAGATGGTATTAATGTTTGCTACTGAATGTTATTCAGAAAGAACAGTTATTTCTACTTCCCCTTGTTATCGGCAGTCAAATGCGGACTACTGAGTAACATACAAAAGCAGAAAATTGAGATGCGGCAAACAGTAAATATTCGTTGATGCAGGACAACATGGTCATGGTTACTAAGTACGCCTGAGTGCTTTTAAGTAGGAAAAAAACCTAAAGCCAACGTTCTAGTCCTTACTTAACAAAGGGCTCATAAAATCGCCTCAGTCAAGCTCTCATACAAAAACTGCCCCCTTACACATACGTGAATGCGATGAATCTGCAATAAAAACGACAATGTCCCACAATCCTACAGTACGAGGCCTCCAATAATACTATTCTAGAGTTCAGCATGGGCTTGGTATTGTGCCGGGAGTCCAATCGCGAAGCGTTGACACCGAGCGCTGTTGCGGATCCTCAGGTCGATCCTATCGGTGTCTCTCTGTCTCTGTCATTAATTTTCATGTCTCCTGGTCTCAAATCCTCTCTGTCGCCTGTTTCCTCGGCCCGCCTAATGATACGGCCAGATGCGAACCCAATTAAAGCACTGACAAGCTAACACATCCCAAAAGACGCAGTCGTCGAAAAGGAAAATCTCAGGTATTTTTTGTAAACTGATTTCTCCAAGCCGACTGCGCTACAAACCACCCTATACAGTCAATGCTATGACTGTGAAGTCCTCATCTCCAGCTGAATTTGGGAAACAGTTCACTTTTTTGAGTGTGGTCATGCACTGACTTGGCAACATGGCAGAAAGTTCGTTTTTCGGACACTTCAGCCAATATATTCCAGAGCGTTAGTGGAAATACTGATTTAACCGCCGAGTCGCCCCTCAGCGGTGTAAATTAAACACTGATTGCAACCATACCTTGGCCTAGCGCAACTAATTGATGCCAACCATCTACCGAATCTGCGCTCTCATATTCCTCCAATTGAAGTAATATGTGCAGGCTAATTAATTTTTGTTAGCGTTACGCATCGTCTTCAGTCTCATTGTCGCATTCCAGCAGTATTGTCAGACGGCAAATAGACAAGGCATCTTCCATCGATCTATGCCTTGGTGCTTAAATTTACCATCGTCTTACACAAACACAGGTTTATTTTGCCCAAGGTCAGGCCGGGGTGCTTGTCTGACAGAGATGGTGGGGGGGGGAAAGCTGCATGTAAAACCCAGTCTTCACGCTCCTGTTAGTCGTAAAATGAACCATCGAACTCAGTCTTGTCTGTTAAACCCGGCTGACCTTCTAACCAGGATGAATTTTGAAAGATGTCTAGGAATACCAGGCTAAGGTTAAGTCCTCTATTAGAGAAACAGCGCGTGCTTTATTCACGCCAGTGTATCACACCAATCTCGGTTCCATGTAGCCCTGCTATATGGATACTCAGGAACTTTGTCATTGAAGTCGATATTTCCACCTTAATAATAAAATACCCTTCCCGTAATAAACTTAAGATACCTCCTGATGTGAAGAATGATTTGGCAGAGGTGCAAAGGGTGCTAAGAAATACCGTGTCTGTCATTATCTGATTCAGATGGTTCTTGACGGCTCCCTCACCCACCGCTGAACAACGATCATCTGGCTCTCTAAAGGCCGGATGTCCAAGTACTTTTTGTATACCATTAGTATTTTGGCAGGTCGTTCTTTATTGTGGGCCACTCATGTGTAGCAAAAATGTCATGGTCGCTGTATAAGGACCTTCAGCTACCAACAGAGACATTCAAGGGGAAGGGTCATACCGTCACACTGAGATATACCCCCAACAACTTTAGTTAGATTTGTTTATGTAGCCCCACCTGAAGTAAACTAACCCCAGCCACTTGTACTGCGGGACCAGCGGTAATAGGTTTATACTATTGAGGTCGGGAAATGCACAGGTGACGAGGCAAAAATGTTGTTTACAAAAAAAGCAATTGGGAATTCGCGGCCGTACTTTAAGTGGTTGAGAAATAGTTGCGCTAACTCCCAAGCCTGACCCTAATCCTTTGCTCCTACCCCTAACCCTAACTCCCAACTCTTACCACTAATCCTTACCTCATATGATAGCCCTTAAGACTAACCTCAGGCCTAATTGCTAACTCCTACACGTAAACCCAACTCCCAAATCTAACCCCTAATCCCAGCCCCGACAGTACCGTGTCTATCAGACGGGACCACCTAACCACATCTAACCAATATTTTCTGCTTATTAACTTTGTTCACCCTGCCGTTGATGATTTTGATCCAGTTTTGCAGGTGACTCCAACCACCAAACAACCCTGTCATTATGTCAAGGCACTAAAAACGACTTTAAATGTTCTGGACGTGACCAAGAGATCTTTTGTCTATCTCAACTAACGGCAAAAGAGTTCAAGCTGATTTGAACTGAAACTTCGACAACTGCAGTCATGTAGGTTGTCAGGCAAGCTTATGTCACATTCCAATGCTGCAACTGCAATGGGAAGGTCGGCAAAAAACAGCCTTACTGTCTGTCAAATACTGATTGGCAAAGGGCTTGGCAGTAACGGAACGGTGGAATAAAATATCGCAACTTACCGACATTAAGTTCTCCCATTCTGTTTGCAAGCCCAGAATTAAATATTTGACCGACAGTGTCTGCAATCTCGTTTGATCTGTTTCGTTTGACTTGTCCATCAACATTCTTTGGGTCGTTTGTTTCCTTAGCAAAGTCTGATAAAATAATTTTACACTTCACAATTTTCTGAATAATATCGTCGAAATAAAAGATATTGCATTTAAAGCTGATTTACCATTGCTATTAATTGATAGCTGTTATTTTTCGTGCGATTTTAATCTTGCAATCCAAGCTCAAGTGGTATCAGCGGGAAAAATAAATCACTCATTTTTACGAATCTGACCTATTATCGGATGCAAAGCCAAGCAAACGACTGATTTGGTTATGGACCCTAAACTAGGTGGCCGTTCAAAATTGCGTTGATTTTTTTGAGACAACGATTTCGAGATACTTCAGGAGACTGGTCTCTCCAAACCAAAGAAATTATGTCCGAATGCATTGCAAGCTACTCCACGCATTAACCGTTATGACTGTTTTCCACTGACTTCTTACGTACATGACAAAGTAGGAGAAATTCTGTCCTTCGACATCTGCAGTCAACAAAATATAGAAGATTAATGGACATAATGAATTGTCGATGGCTGACCAAAACTCAGCAACTGCAGCCTTACCTTAGACTAACGTTAATCATTGAAGTCCACCATAACCTGACTCTGCGGACTCGCATTCTCTCATTATTTAAAATTAAGTTCTTAATTATATTTTAGCTCTACACGTCGGCTATAATCATCATCGTCATCAAAAAACGAGTAGTTATAAAAATGCCTCATCGTCTCTCAAATATGACACGAAGAAGTATTTTACGGTAACAAAGCGGGGAATAATGTACCGCAACTTACCGTCTTCTACTCTGTTTGGGAAGCCAAGACTGAATATGTCGTCGATATTCTCGGTAATCTCGTTTGATCTGCCTTGTTCAAGTTGGCCAGCTGCATAAGTATAACCGTTTTCATCCTCATGTGAGTTTGCTAAAAAAAGTTACGACTTACACTTTTTAAAAAAGCCTCCTTCATCAATCAAAATAAATTGTAAGACACTTGAAGCAGACTTCCTATTCTAATTACCAGAAACCTGCTATCGCTCAAATGTCTGCAATCCTGCAATTCAGGCTAAGATTATCGCAAGTATCAATGATAATACTCATAATTTTGATCAACTGAGGCTCCGTGATTGAAAAAAAGGATGCGCGATAAACATGTTACGTTATAAAGATAGCAACAGTTGTTCCAACGAAATTATTTTATTAGGTAAGCAATATTGAGGTCAAATATAAAGGACTTGCTTTACCGAATTTCGTTGCTCATGAAGAACCGTTACTTTTACTTCCCTTCGCTATTTTTATTGTCAAAAGCAAACTACTGTATAAAATGCAAATGTGGAAGACTTTAAATGCGACAAACAGTAAATATTCCCGGACGTACTGACAACACGATCAAAATAATTAAGTGCAGCTGAGTGCTCCTAGTTTGGAAAAACGCATGCAAACTGCATTAAAACCCTTAATCAAATGAGGACTCATAAAATATCTTCAATCAACCTCCAATACAAAAACCGTCGGCTTACACACATACGTGAAAATAGTGTAGCTGCAATAACGAAAATGTCCCACAGTATCATTGTACGAGGTCGCAAATAGTGCTATTCTAGATTGCACTATGCGGTTAATAATACTGTGTGTAAAGACCAATCGCAACGTTTTGACCACAAAGGGCGGTTTAGGATCGTCACGTGGATCTCGTCGGTCTCTCTCTCGCTCTGTTGCCCTGTCTCTCTTTCTCATGTCTATTGGGCTGTGATCATCTCTGACGCCTGTTTCTTCAGCAAGAATATAAATACGGTCGGATGAAAGGCCAATTGAACAACTGACACAAAAATGCACCCAAAAGACCCAGTGATCGCTAGGGATGCTGGTATTTTGTAAAGCAGCAAAATCTTAGATATGTGAAATGAGCTGATCTGTACAAGTTGAGCGAAAATGTGTACAAATGCGTGCAGTACATACTACAACTGTGCAATCCTCATCTCCAGTCAAATGTGGCAAACAGTTTACTTTAGGACACTGTCATTCACTGGCTTGATGAGAAGTCAGAAATTCCGTTTTCGTATAGCTGCAACCAACAGAATGTACAGCGTTAATGGAAAAATTTGATCTAACCGTCTAGCTGACCCTCGGCGGTGTAAATAAAACACTGACTGCAACCATACTTTGACAAAGGCATCTCACTACTGTCCATCATTACTAGCCTCTGCGGTGTCAAACTCCCCCAGTTCTAGTAATATGTGTTGGCTAATATATTTTCTAATGTTACGTCTCAACCTTTCTCCAAATACGTACTGCTTATTGCTCAGGAGTTTCCTTGGTTAACGGTTCGATGTTGAATTTGGAATATTCTGTCGCTGTTCATTGACTTATGCCTTATTCGTTTGGTTGGACTAACATAAAACTTACTGAAATGCTTTCTTTTACCCATTTGATAGAGATTCACGTCCTTGTTTATATATCATATATGGAAAAGAAGTGTAATTAGGTTTGAAAAAAGTTTTCAAGTATAACATTTTGTAAGACCGTCCGATGTCCATTCACACAGAATCGTACCTGCCTGTTTACCTCGGCTCATCCTGGAATGCACAAGACAGTCCACCTCCGTTGTGATATTTTATGGACTTTATACGGTATATTTTTAAAAGCATAGACGAATGTGTGATTTTTCATACAAGGATAAAATTACAAGGCGCTAATGCGACGGCTGATGAGGCGCCGAATTATACGGGAAAAAGAAAACTTTTTAAAGCCCTGATATAATTCCTCTTTAAGTATATAATATAAAAGATGACGTGAGTCTCTATCAAATGAATAAAAGAAAGCCTTTCCTGTCCATGCGTTTTATGAAATATATTTGAATTTATAAGAACATCGGAAATCAATGTGAAAAATGCATGCTAATTAAGTAGTCATTCCTTACCGAGTGAGAATTCTACAAATGGTCGAAAAGAAGTGCATTCAAAAGAAGACGTACTGCGTAGTCTGAAATGTTATAGGACTATGTTGCAAGATGATCGATATTACTAATCTTCCCAAGTAATCCTTTTTAATCGAGAACGCATTTGAAAATTTCGGCCAACATTTCGTGAGATAGGTCACGCACAGTAATACGACCAAACTCTCGCATAGTTTTATATAACACTAAAATATTGAAGCAAAACAACGGGTACTGCTTGGTAAATAAATAAACTTTATGAGACGCCAGTCGCTTTATGCAGTTTGAAAAGGGATTTTCAAAATCCTCCTAATAAATTTCCTTTGTTACGAACCTGCCTCGTATATCGCTGACCTATGCACAACCACCCTCCTGACTCATATCCCAGAATCATAACTTCACGGCAAGTGTACACAAAAAGTATTATAAGGCGATCAGAGGAAGGTATGGGAACGTCCACGATCGATTGGAATGAGACCAGTCACATATATTCTTTGCCTGCCCAGGATGTCGCCTTGACAGTTTTGATAAGCATTCCAACATTCTGAGTTCGGCCGCGGCATCTGCACTCGCAGAGCATTTTTGTGTATTGTTAGGGTGGCATCCTAGCACCCATTAAAACGCCTAGTTAGGGAAACAGAAAACCGAATTTCTATCCAAACTGAATGAACAGTAAAGGGAATTAACACCCACCAACTACAGTGCGTGACCTATCTCATGAAATGTTGGCTGAAATTCTGAAATACGTTTTCGATTAGGAGGGATTACTTGGTCGCGGTTGTAATACTGATTATCTTGCGGCATACTATTATAACATTCGGACTTCTTTTCAATCTCCTGTAGAAAGCGTGCTCGGTAAAAAATGACTACTTAAGTAGAATGCACTTTTCCCATTAATTTTCGATGGTCTTGGAAATTCAAATATATTTTATAGAAACCACAAACAAAAGTATGCTTTCTTTTAATCAATCAAAAGAGACTCACGTCTTCTTTATATTTTATACTTAAGGAAGGAGTATAATTAGGTTTTTAAAAAGTTTTATAATTGCCGAAAAATGTGGAGCCTGATCATTCGTTGCATTAGCGCTTAGTGATTACACTCTACAAGGTGCATGCGTTCCGCGTAAAGAAAATCACAAATTTTTCTATGTCATTAAGGAGATATCATACAGGGTCCATAAAATTTTGCACTGGATGCGGACCATGTTGTACATTTCATGACGAGCAGTGGTAAACGGCCAGGTACGGTGCTATGTTAATGGACATATCGCGGTCTTAAAAAGTCTCATAATTATAAACTTTTTAAAACCTAATTATACTCCTTTCTTAAGTAAAAAATATAAAGAAGACGTAATTGTCTATTGATTGACTAAAAGAAAGCACATTTTTGTTTGTGGTTTCTATAAAATATATTTGAATTTCCAAGACCATCGAAAATCAATGGGAAAAATGCATGCTACATAAGTAGTCATTTTTTACCGAGCACGCTTTCTACAGAAGATTGAAAAGAAGTGCATTTTAAAGCCGACATCCTGCCGAGTCCGAAATGTTATAAGAGTATGCCTTAAGATAATCAGTATTACAACCACGACCAAGTCATCCTTCCTAATCAAAAACGCATTTCAGAATTTTCGCCAACATTTCATGAGATAGGTCACGCACTGTACATCTTGGGTTTAATGGAATAAGCTACTTCTTCAGGGACAGGAATTTGTTGAACAATCTCGAACTTAGCAGATGTCCTAATGCCTTTTCAAGGCATGCTGCCTCATCTGAAGTGCCTAATCTCATTGTCTCAAAATATGCAATTTCTGCATACAAAATAATTGAGACTGTCGGGTATCCCAGTCACATTAGCGCTTCTGGACAACGGGACTTTCTTCTAATGTTCTACTGAAAGCTCGGAAACACAGGTGGCGAACAAAAGTAACTCGTGGAAGGGGAGTTACAAGTAGATCCACCCTTGTCATAAACGGTAACCCGAAGAATAAATTTGATATGCTCCTTTTTTCGTCTTTCATAACTTACTGCTTAAAGGACTTGTGCAGTCGCGGTTTTTTAAACGTTTGACCTGCTGATACGAGTTGTTGAATAGAATTCAATGTGATCTGTAAAAATGAACAGCCCATTATCCTGAGTGGGACATAATGGACATAATTCTATGTACTGGGAAAGGGAAAATCTTCATTTAATTCTCAAGTATACCAAAGCTATTGGCGTAGCAGTTTGGAGAGTAATTTATACTTCAAGTTTGATCTGGGCCGTTTGTCTCTGAAGGAACTGTGAAAGGCAGCAACTATGTGGGGATGCTTAGCATTTAATTTCTGCCTGGAGTGGCACGGGGTTTGTTACCAGCAAGACAGTGCAACTTTCGATTACAACACTGTCGCGACCGACCGGTTTGATAAGTACCTCGCGCACACATATGGATTGTTCACCGGGGTTCTAGGGACAATCCTCTATATTTACCTGATCCCACACCCCTGGCTGATTTTCTTTGAAGTGTGCTGCAAATTAAACACGATTTACAAACTTATAGCAAGAACAGCAGATTCGTGTGCCAAAACCAACGAAGAATCGTGTCGAAAGGTGTGCTTATTTGTTCTCCATAGAACTTCCAAATGCACTGAGGAATGTGTTCTGTCTTTTGAGCACTTCCTCTCATTGTGCTCCATGGACTTTTGTTTCACTTTCATCAGATTTTACAATGTATGACCTGAATATCAATAAGTTGGCGAATATTTAGCAAGTTAGTCAGTGGGGGAATGAGGGAACGGAGTCTGTAAGTGTCGCCTGTGGCACAATAATCAACGCAGACAAGCTAACTTGAATTATGAGGTCTAAGTGTATTAAACAATGAGCGGTGGATGTGAACTTCAATCTCAAAGAATTAACCAAGCGAAGGCCAGATGCTGTGAGTTCATGGGCGAGAACGGCGCAAAAATGCTTCAGCAGAAGGTGACTGAACGAGCCCGCGAACAGAGAGCGGCACGCGACGCCTCATTCCACGTCATCCAGAGACGGCACACTGGTACACAACCGGTCGTCAAAAGAACTGACGAAGAAGCAATTGCAAGTTTTACGGCACGAAGCCCCATTCGGTACAGCTGTTGCCAAATCTGTTAACATGATTGCAGCAGTGGGATGGGTTATCAATCAGACGGAAGCAACGGAGGAGACGAAAAACTTATCCGACACCAAGTTTCATCCTTCCCTATGACTCACAGGCCGCGCGGAATACCCTCAAATGTCGAACCCGACGTACTATGATAACTCAAGGTCGGCATGTAAATTGGCATAGTGCCCCCGGACAAGGGACATTCCGCCGTCGAACTGGACAGTACAAACTACCTCCAGGAGGCCCAAATAATACTTGTGGATCTCCAGTTTTATGTCCAATGTGAAATCAACCCTGCAACACGCTGACACGTGAAAGTAATGCGACACTGTTGGCACTGGAGAACTCGGGTGCAATAACACATGGCAAGAGCCCAAGAAACGGCCTTGGCGTGATTCTATGGTGTCTTCAAGGTGCATAAGGGTGATGTTCCCCTCCGGCCCATTGTATTGCTCAAAAGCATCCAAGCATACGGGCTTGCAAACTGGCTGTCTCGGCGTCTCAGATTTCTGACCGCTGAT